GGGGTCCCCTCGGCTGCGGCCTCTCGCCGGTGGAGAACTGGCAGTGGCTGGGCGAGCGCGGGCCGCCTTCCTGTCGGTCCTGGCAGGTGTCTTGGGATGATCTCAGAAGAGCGCAGAGACGGGAAAGAAACGTTCCTTTCCCTCGATTGTTTTGGGCTTTTTTCTTACTCCAAGGAAACTTTCAGCCCCCACCCCACCCCACCCCACCCCACCCTCTTTTCTTTCTTTCGTGAATCACCAGTTATCTGTGCTGGTGTGACAGCTGTTTTGGGAGAGGACTTTACGGAGAGATTTCTACATTCCCGTTTTTATTTTTTAAAAAATATATATTTTATTCATTTCAGAGAGGAAGGTAGAAGGAGAGAGAGATAGAAACATCATTGATGAGAGAGAATCACTGCTCGGCTGTCTCCTGCACGCCCACACTGGGGATGGAGCCCACCGCCGGGCATATGCCCTTACTGGGGGTCGAACCGTGACCTCCTGGTTTATAGGTCCACGCTCACCACTGAGCTGTGCCAGCCGGGCTCTATATTCCCTTTTAAACAGAACCCTGTCGCGCCCCGGAGCAGGGGTAATGTCAGTGCTTCTCAGATTGAGATCTGGGGAAACCTGCATCAGAATGCCTGGGGATGCTAGTAAACTCCACCCCAGAGCCACGGAGTCAGTCTTTTTCTGGGTAAGAACCTCGAATCTGCAAATTTAACAAGCAAACCAGACAATTTTTGAACACACTAGGCAAAGTTTAAGAGCTATGGGTAGGTTCTTGAATTTTGGCAGTTTTGATATGTAGAGAATTTATCATATAAACATTTAATATAGGGCTGTCTTGGTTGAGTTGGTTAACCTCCTTAAAAATGATACTTAAAGATACATGTTTTAAAGCACTTTTCCAAGTCTGGACACAAATGTAAGGCATTTTAATGCTAAAGTATTTTGCAGACAGCTGTCTGAACAAACCTGGGGAGAAAGTGATGTCCCATTTAGCAAATGGGATGATAAAGGCAGTGTTAGGTAAATTAAACCAGGGAGGGCTACAATTGTAGGTCACAAAGTATTGTAGGTTTATAACATACTGATTACTAGATCATAACAAATAGGTTTAATTTTCAGTTAATTATCGGAACCTTGATCTATGTACCTGCAAACTATAAATAGGATAAGTAATAAAAATCTCACCACTTGAATGTTTATATGTAGATTTTTTTAAAAAATAGCAAATGTTTGACAATTTTCATAGGCTTTGCTAATTAATTAACTTTCCTGGAAGAGTGTTTTATCTTGAAACTTCTGAAGTGCCTGCTCAAAGTAAGTTCCATGAATTAATATGTTTCATTTTTCTTAAATTACAAATCCACTGCAGCAGGTACTTGTGGGTACTTACAAAGGCCTGCACGGTGCTCTGGGGCTCCAGAGGATGGGCAGATCCAGCCCTTCTGGAGGAGTGGAGTCTCGCCCCTAGGATTATATGAGATGACCCATGACATAGAGCAGAAGCAGTGCAAATTAAGTGCCACCAGTGCCTGGAGGTTTTTGTGGTTTTCAGGAGGTTGGGTACAGGCGATGAGGTAGATGAGAAGATAAGCAAAGGCTGAGGCAGAATGAGGTGGTTCCTAAAAAGTGGTTAGAATTGTGATGGGCAGACATGGGATTTGAGGAAACAGCAAGAGGCACAAAATCTGGAAAATACATTTAAGGAAACTTTTTAAAAAAAGATATTTTTTATTGATTTCAGAGAGGAAGGGAAAGGGAGAGACAGAAACATCAGTGGATGAGAGAAATCATCGATCTGCTGCCTCCCGCATGCCCCTCACTGGGGATCTAGCCTGAAACCTGGGCATGTGCCCCCGACCTGGAATCGAACTGTGACCTCCTGGTTCATAGGTCAATGCTCAACCACCGAGCCACACCCCACACCGGCTGGGCTAGAGAATTTTTTATTCATATACATCTTTGTGTGAGACCTGTGTGTATGTGAGTGATTAGACAGACATATGGGAGTGCTGGGCAAGGTGGAGAAAAAAATGAGACTATAAAAATAGCTGGGGCCATATTGTATAGATCTAGCTTCACACTAGCAGTACAGAAGGGAGTGTGTTAGAAGTCCAGAATCAGACACCACTCAGACCCACTGAGGAAGTATCTGTGTTTTAACAAGATTACAGTGTGCTTCGTATGCACATTACAGTTGGATAAGTGATGTGTGAAGTATCTCAAGTGCCAGTCCTGATTAAAGTTTGTGCTTAAGAAATATTTCTCCAGCAATACCATGTACTGAAAGCTTGAGGTGAGGATACCACAAGGACAGTGTTGTAACAGTTCAGAGGAGAGGTTCGCTGTTAAGTGGATGTAGAACAGATGTTTGAGGTAGAATCTTGGTTCCTAGCAAATGAATCAGTTCTACCTACCTTGGTACTCCCATCCAAAGACTGAGACTGGGTGGCCAGAAAGTGAGAGGATTTTAGGGGAGCAGGGAAGAAAAGAGAAGGGGTTTGGTGATGGACATGGTGACTTGTAGGTCCAGGCAGGACTCTAGACCAGGGGTGGGCAAACTTTTTGACTCGAGGGCCACAATGGGTTCTTAAACTGGACCGGAGGGCCGGAACAAAAGCATGGATGGAGTGTTTGTGTGAACTAATTATAAATTCAAAGTAATCATCATTACATAAAAGGGTACGGTCTTTTTTTTTTTTTTAGTTTTATTCATTTCAAACGGGCCGGATCCGGCCTGCGGGCCGTAGTTTGCCCACGGCTGCTCTAGACTCTAGACTCAACCCCTTTCACAGTGGTCGCCTAAGACCATCAGAAAACACATATATAATTACATATTGTTTTTGTGATTAACCACTATGCTTTAATTATGTTCAATTTGTAACAATGAAAATACATCCTGCATATCAGATATTTACATTACGATTCATAACAGTAGCAAAATTACAGTTATGAAGTAGCAACGAAAATAATTTTATGGTTGGGGGTCACCACAACATGAGGAACTATATTAAAGGGTCTCGGCATTAGGAAGGTTGAGAACTACTGGTCTAGAGGGAGATATTTGGTAGGCAGATGGAAATGAGTGACTGAAGTTGGAGAGCAGTCAGGATAAATAGGTGAAGCTATGAGAAAATGAGGCTCATGATAAGTCCTCAGGAAATGCCTTATATTTTAAAGACATGACAGCAAAGGAGACAGCTATCACTGGCTAGGTTGGTGGTATAGAGTAAGGACTGAGAAGAATGAGGGATTTGGTGATGAGTGCACTTAAAGAGTTTATGTAAAGCAAGAGTACTCAGCAAGAGGGAGGTTAAGGATCCCCCTTTTCATTCCCAGCCCCTTCTTCCCTCACAGTTAAACCTGATAGGAGGCAAATTTTAGGAACAGGGACCTCTGATCTTAATTACACACACACACACACACACACACACACACACACACACACACACACACACACACACGAGAGAGCCTATTTGCATAGGTTGATAAAGAGGATTGGAGGAGGAGGTGAAGGTAGTTGGGGAGGATCTACTTGGCAAGCAGGAGGTTCACTTTTCTCAGAAACAAGGTGAAAATAGAGGAATTTTGCCTGGCAGAATGTAAGTGACTTTTGGCAAACAATTCTCTAGGAAGACATAGGCCCAGATTCAGGGGTCTACCTGATAGCTTAAGATAACGTGGGAAGTTTGAGAAACTTTGGGTAAATTGAGACTCAGCAGGAGCTAAGTATGCAATGTTTATAGAACTTTTTTCTAAATTCTCAAAAAAAAGAGAGAATATCAGTTCATAATAACAGGCCAATATTCTGTTTGTTTCAAGAAGGAGGATTAGGAGAAAGATTTGAATTAACCAAGTGTTTATTACAAACAGCTGTGAAGAATTTTGCCGCTTATAAACTTTTAAAGAGGGAGGTGGGGAATTAAGATAGTCATTTTTGCATGTTGTCTTGATGCCCAAGAAGCAGTATAAGGGTCACTAATTCTTTTCTTTTTCTTTTCTTTTCTCTTCTTTTCTTTTCTTTTCTTTTTTTTTCTTTCTCTTCTCTTCTCTTCTCTTCTCTTCTCTTCTCTTCTCTTCTCTTCTCTTCTCTTCTCTTTCTCTTTCCTCCCTCCCTCCCCCCCTCCCTCCCCCCCTCCCTTCTTTCTATTGATTTTAGAGAAAGGGAGGGAGAGAGGGAGGGGGTGAGAGAGAGAGAGAAACAGAAACGTTAATTTGTTGTTCTACTTGACATTCATTGGTTGATTCTGGTATGTGCCTTGACCAGGGATCGAATCTGAAATCTTGCATATCTTGATGACCCTCTAAAACCAACTGAGCTACCAGGCCAGGTGTTTTTTTCTCCTGATGGCATTTTCATTGGCTTCATTCTAAATGCTTACTCTGTACCTCAAGCATGTTAATGAATGACTTAAACTATTTTTAAAAAAATATTTTATTGATTTTTTACAGAGAGGAAGGGAGAGGGATAGAGAATTAGAAACATTGATCAGCTGCCTCCTGCACA